AAGGGGGTCCATCACATCTGAAGGCAAATATCAATTTTTTATGCTTAAATGTTTTATGGAAGTGATACCTAGCAATTACTTGATTTCCAGTCACAGCACATTCAGCGCTTCTGTTAGCATGGCTTAAATTAGCCCACAGAAAGACAAGTCTGTTTTTATTAGCTCGCTAAAACACTTTTAGCCAGTTTTTATTAGCTCACTAAAACATTTTCTGCCTGTTTTTGTGCATTTGTGCTCTGTTACTATGCTTTCTACATATAAACACATGTTCATCCTTCTTATGTCCTTCTCCAAAGCAGGAGCTTCACTGCCATCTAGCCAAAGGGAAATTCAGGGCATCCGGCCATGAAAAATCCCCACGAGCAACATCAAACCCTAATGGCCGCTCATGCTCCTGAAACAGACTGGTCTCAGGCTGCTGTAGTACATCTTATACAGCAGCTATACAAAGCCTGTTCCAAAAGGAATACACCATTAAAGGCCACACAATATAGGCCAGTTAGGGTGAAACATGTTGCCCTTAGGGCAGGGAAGCAAACTGTTTGGAGATTCATACAAATGTTTAGCATATCTAAACAGTGACTATAGACTTTAACTCTGTGTAATTCAAAGTCAGTGTTTATTCACACTTAATTGAGTCAGTTTCTGACCTGAGGTACTGAGGAAGCTTTTAGCATTTGCATTTGACCTTGGCCCCTGCACCCTCAAGGAAGGCTATGCACTTATTCACTATGCAGATGAATAGTTACCCTTAATCAAACATTTCAATTAAGCCAACTAATGTGGCTGAGACATTTATGCATGTCTGTTTTTAACTGGGCAAAATACAAATCCCAGTCCACATTTATGATCAGAAACAGCATGACATCTTCTTACAAGCACTATTATTTTCATACTTATTAAAGATATGTAATAGGCCATATTTCCCTGATATAATATAATTTCAGCATCCCTGATGCCTACAACACTGTTCTGGCACTCTTCATATTGATTTAATACATGTACAAGCAACATGTACAAGCAACTGAATATACAATTTCTGTTCTAATGAGTAGTGCAGTAAATAATACACACATACAAGCTTGAGTCTAGGTCCCTCTGCTGGCTGTGATTTGTGATGCTATTCTGATCTCTATCTGCTATGACCTGTGTAGAGCAGTGTCAGTCCAGCTCTTCTAAATTTGGTGCAAATGTGTATGTGGGCATTTAATAAGGGTAGAGGTTAAGGTGGCCATTTAGTCACACACAGTGAGGATTTAAAGGACGTTACATTTTGTTGAAAATAACATACAGTGCTACAGTTTTAAAATACCCTGTTCCACATAACAATTTGCCAAAGAAATTCCAGTTATATTATACACAAACTTCCAAAAATATTCAGTCCACAAATAAATTATTGTAAACATTGTCATCCCTTAATTTTCAAAGCCAAATTAAGTTGTCTGCAGATATTTAAAAGAAAATGAAAATAGTGCCACAGATTCTCAAAGAGATTGAGGTCAGCACTTGACTCTTCCTGCTTTAACACCCATTTCGACCCAGCAAGAGGATGTTAATGAGCTGATTAGCTGGATCAGTAAAATATGCAGAACAGGGACCTCCAGCAACAGGGCTGGAAAAACTGCTCTAAAGGATTTGCTGACACTTTTCCGGGTCGTAATTTGACACTACGGCAAGAACATGCAGCACCCCAATGATAACTGATATTGGGAGTGACTGAGTGTCAGTCAAAGGACTCCCGACTCAGATGGCAGATAGGTACCGACAGGCGAAAAAGGTGGCAGCCGCAACGGTGGCAGAAGCAAAATCCAGGGTGTGGGAGGAGTTTGGAGAAGCCACGGAAAAAGACTTTCGGTGGGCCTCAAGGAGGTTCTGGACGACTGTCCAGCAACTCAGGAGCGGTTGGGGTGGCTGCGCCCAAGCTGTATTCGGCAGGGGTGGTGGTCAGTGGAAGGAGCACTTTGAGGAACTTCTTAATCCAGTAGACATGCCTCCCTCACGGGAGTCAGGGCCAGAGGCTTCTGGCGTGTCAAGCTCCATTTCCCTGGTGGAGGTCACTGAGGTAGTTGGCAAACTCTTCAGTGGCAAGGCACCGGGGGTGGATGAGATTCGTCATGAGATGCTTAAGGCTCTGGATATTGTGGGGCTGTCGTGGCTGACACGTCTCTGCAATATTGCATGGACCTCAGGAACAGTACCCTTGGACTGGCAGACCAGGGTGGCGGTCCCTATCTTAAAGAAAGGGGACCGGAGGGTGTGTGCCAACTATTGGGGTATCACACTTTCCTCCCTGGGAAAGTCTATGCCAAGGTGCTAGAAAGGAGACTTCGACTGGTTGTGGAACAATGGACCAGCTTTTCACCCTCTCACGGATTGTTGAGGGGGCATGGGAAATTGCCAACCCAGTCTACATGTGTTTTGTGGATTTGGAGAAGGCTTACGGCTGTGTTCCCCGAGATATCTTGTGGGAGGTCCTCCAGGAGTATGGGGTGCCGGGGCTGCTACTCCGGGCCATTCAATCTCTGTACTCCCGGAGTGAGAGCTGTGTTCGTATACTCGGCATTAAGTCGGACTCTTTCAGTGTTAGCGTTGGACTCCGCCAGGGTTGTGCCCTGTCTCCACTCCTGTTTGTGATATTCATGGACAGGGTGTCAAGGTGCAGCCGGGGTCAGGAGGGCATTATGTGTGGAGGCCGGAGGGTGGCGTCTCTGCTATTTGAAGACGATGTTGTTCTTTTGGCTGGATCACATGGATGCCTCCAGAGCGCACTGGAGCAGTTTGCAGCTGAGTGTGAAGCGGTTGGTATGCGGATCAGCACCTCCAAGTCTGAGTCCATGGTCTTAGCCTGGAAAAGGATGGTATGCCCACTCCAGGTAAGGGGAAAGGAATTGCCCCAGGTGGAGGAGTTTAAGTATCTCGGGGTCTTGTTCACAAGTGATGGGAAGAGGGATCGTGAGATCAACCGCAGGCTAGGACAGGCGGCAGCAGTAATGCGGTCGCTATACCAGATTGTAAAGGTGAAGTGGGAGCTGAGCCGTAAGGTGAAGCTCTCTGTTTACCGGTCGGTCTACATCCCGACCCTCACCTATGGTCATGAGCTATGGGTAATGACCGAAAGAATGAGATCGCGAATACAAGCGGCGGAAATGAGCTTTCTTCGCAGGGTGGGGGGCTACACTCTGTTTGATAGGGTGAGGAGCTCGGCCATCTGGGAGGAGCTCGGAGTAGAGCCGCTACTCCTCCGCATTGAGAGGAGCCAGCTGAGGTGGTTCGGGCATCTGATCCGGATGCCCCCTGGACGCCCCCCGGTGGGGGTGTGCCAGGCACGGCCTACCAGAACAAGACCCCGGGGTCGTCCTAGGATGCGCTGGAGGGATTATATCTCCAGGTTGGCCTGGGAGCGGGTTGGGGTCCCCGGGAATGAGCTGGAGGAAGTTGCGGGGGACAGGGTCGTCTGGGATTCTCTGCTCTCCCAACTGCTACCGCGACCTTAGCTGGACTAAGCGGTTAACGATGATGATGATGATGATGAGTGTTCTTACATCATTTCACCATATTGCATTGGCTATGCCATTTGCTCCCCGCTATGGAGAAGAATTTGTGCCAAATTGAAAAGCAGTCACTTCAGTGGAAAAAGGTGAGATGTAATGCACGCATGACATTTTTTTCCATGGTGTCATACAGAATATTGGTTTAATGTACTGCACAGTGGAAAGCAATACAGCTGTGCCTTCATTACATTGACATATTCTGCACCTGCTACAGGCGGCCCGCGCGCGCGCACTTACATTCGATTTAAATTCAAAATTCAATGGAAACAGCGGAGCAGTGCGAGCCCCAGCCAACAGTTAGCTGAACTAGCTGAAGCCGAGAGAAATTATTATTAGCATTAGGTCTTTTAGTTTGTTATTCTCAGAAATATTATTAAGAGACTGGTGATGATACGTTGTCAAAAGTCTGATAGATTTACATGAACACAGTAAACAAGTTGCATCAGCTGTGTTAACGCATCTTCTCCAGAGATGTTATCTCTTCACTCCCTAACTGCTAGCTCGCCTAAGTTAGCTTGGCTTGTGAAATAAAGGTAAGTAAAACTCGGCATGTTCAGGTCCGTAGCTATTGCATCAGGTACATACATTTCATTTTTCACTCCGTTCGTATCCTTACAACCTTTGAACACACGGAGGCGTCCATGAGCTGACATCTTGGTTGGATCAGTCCTGCCTTCAAGCTGATTTTTCTTGTCCATGTCCTTACAGACCAGTTTTATGCGCATTTTCCTGATTGATCCAGTAGTGCATGCTGGCACAGGCAAACACTTTACCTTTTCCTAAGTTGTGCTTTGTTTTACTTTATGATCATTCTTTCAGGTTCAAAGCCTGAGCAAGAACTATTAAACACAGGTTTAAGGCTAGCGTTACTGTAATAGTTCTCAGGTAGAAATCGTGTGCAGTAAGGAGACACTTATATCCTTGTTAGAGATGTTGTTGCGAGCTTTGAGTTTTCACAGCACAGAGCTCAAAGTAACAGTAATAATTGGAAAATATGTGTAAGTATGATTTGTATTAAATACAGTAATGTACAGAAGTCAGAGACCACCCATTCATATTTTAAGATTAATAATAATAGGAAGTGTAGAGTTCAAGAGGTTATTTCTGCATATATTAATATTCAGTCATATGTTAATATTACCAATACCTGTGATCATATTTCTGAACTGCCTCGAAAACAGTTCAAACACCCACCCACCCACGCACAGCTGTGTAGCTCACTCACTACCCTTCACAGGTTGTGTTGGAGCATTGTGCCATTTGGCACGACAGAGTGGTATTATTCTAGGCTTTGTGCGGCGGCACATTGTTCCTGCGCGGCCTCTTTTGTTGAAGGAGCAGTGATGCTGTGGGTCTTTATGCTGACTCCAGCCTGGGGCAGTGACACGGCCTGATATGGCCAGATGACTGAGCCAGAGGGAGAGTGAGAGATACAGAGAGAAAGAGAGGGACAGCATCAGCAGCTCGGGAGCTCAGAGAGCAGGGAAATGGAGATGGATTGAGGAGTTGAGGAACAAACACACACCCCACTCACTGCTCAGCGACGGAAACCCAAGCCCAAGCGCAGCCATGCAGGAGTCTCCAGGATCTATAGGTGTGGATGGAGGCTACGCCAGCAATGTGCCTGCTTTCCTCACCAAGCTGTGGACCCTGGTGGAGGACCCAGAGACCAACCATCTCATCTGCTGGAGCACCGTGAGTCAAGCCTGATGCTTCCCATTAGCTAACAACTAGTAACTAAATCTAACACCATGTAGACCATAAAACAAATGTGATGGGCCTAGATGGTTCTAGATGGTGTTTTTTACATACAATGATTCAGAAAAGTCTAAAGGTGAGAGCAAGTCCTGATTTTGAGTGAACAGACATGGAGAAGACTATGCAAAAGTTTGAGGGGTGAGGTAGACATACATATTATTTTTAAGTTTAGCATCTGTTGTCATATGAATAATTTTTGTCAATTTATGTACAAAAGTGACTTTTACGGTCTAGATTTACAGATCGTACACAATCAATATTTGATTTTTTAGGGTGGAAGAAGAACTAATGAAATTCTAAATAATGTACTAATTATCTATTTATAATAACATTTTGTCAATGTCACCGCTTTTGAAATACCAGACTTTCTGGTTGTTCAATTTATTTATTTCAATTTCTTTTTTGATGCTATACAGCTTTCTCAGTCATTTTAGAATTATCTACAGCTCCGTTTATCATTCTGGACATGTCTAATTTATTCATACATTCCTATTTAGGAAGGCAAATTATATTTTTGAAATTATTCATTCAGAAGTTTTAAATATTCCAAATATAAGTTTTAAATATTCCAAATTTTTATGTTATTTTAACTCCACGAATAATATTGACATCTTCCAAGGTTCAGTGTTCAGGCTTGAAAGCTCTCTGTAGCACACTGACTTATGAGTTTTGTGTTTCTGTGTGACTAAACACAAAGTTCATCATATATTTGTTTCTGCGTGTGGTATTCCTCTCAAGAGCATAAAGTAAAAAAGCCTTAAAATAGTAATATCTATCTTAAATAAAGTAGTACTTAAAAGCGTAATATCTCTTTACATATAGAAATAGCATCTAGTCTTATTGTCTTACTTTATACATTACACACTTCAGTATAAATAACCCTACCTCAAGTTTACTTAGCAGCTGTCATGAAGGTAAACCCTGTAAATCGAAGAAAGCTTGTCATCACCTTCAGCTCAACAGCTGTTATTTTCACTGCGGGTGTTTTTTACAGGTCTGAAATTTCACACTGTTGAATTGAGTGTTTCTGATCGTACATGCTGTTAGCCTGTTGAATACTGAGCAGCACTTCTGAGAATTGCATTTTTGTTGAAAAGCCCATCTACTTTTCTAGTGTGCCACTTCTTTTCAGAATCATTCACTTGCTTCACAGTTATAGTCACGTTAGCAAGATTAGATTGTAGATGATAGATTAGATTAACTAGGTATTGGAGGGTAATTGTAAATACTGGAAGAGGTTTGGAAATAAGTAAGCTAACACAATTGATTAGTTTTTGAACAAATAAATGTTTACTGTCCAGATAAATGACTTTCTACATCATTGCAAATGACTTGATTAGTAATAATAAGTCATTGTTTCTTGGTTTCTTCCATTTAGACTGGGACCAGCTTTCATGTATTTGACCAAGGCAGGTTTGCCAAGGAAGTTCTGCCCAAATACTTCAAGCACAACAACATGGCCAGCTTTGTACGCCAACTGAACATGTGTATGTATTTTTGCATAGCGTGGCAGCGAAGAAGTACTGAGCATCTAATAGATCCAGCCAGTAGCAAAGCAGAATCTAATGTTTTTATAAGGTTTTAAAATTGTAATACATTTCCCAAAAGCTTTATCTAGTGTTAACAATAAAACCTTATTGACTTAAAAGAAGTAGCAAATGTGTTTTTATTTGTGATACGATTGCCACTAAACTACAACAACTCTCATCTTACGCTGGGTGTTATTACTGATAATTAATATTTTTAATGAAGTGGTTACTTACTTTATATGTAGCATTACAGTACCCAACTAGCCAGCTATGTTTCATAGTTTTGTAACTCCTTGTGAGGTGACTGATAGCTTAATTGAAGAATCGAGAAGCTTCTGCAGCAATAGTTGTGAGTTAATATGTCTTTGCTTGTGTGTGTGTGTGTGTGTGTGTGTGTGTGTGTGTGTGTGTGTGTGTGTGTACGGTCTTGTCTCAGATGGCTTCAGGAAGGTGGTGAACATTGAGCAGAGCGGGCTAGTGAAGCCAGAGAGAGACGATACAGAATTCCAGCACCTCTACTTCCTCCAAGGTCACGAGCATCTGCTGGAACACATTAAACGCAAGGTGTGGCACTTAACTGTACACATGAACACATCATTTAATGTTACGTTAAGAAACTGCTTCAGGACATCCTGAATGTGGATAAAACGCAACCAATGTAATGATATTCCTCCTCAGGTGTCCATAGTGAAGAGTGAGGAGACAAAGGTCCGGCAGGAGGACTTGAGTAAACTTCTGTATGAAGTGCAGGTGCTGCGCAGCCAACAAGAGAACATGGAATGCCAGATGCAAGATATGAAACAGTGAGAGCCAAACACACACGCACATGCATTCTAGGTGTTCAGAAGTTTATTTTGTTTAGGCACGTCTTGGGAACTTCATCCTTAATGGATGACGCAGATTTTATAGTTTGTTGTAACCAATTTAACTGAAGGCCTATTACATTTTTAAAAATAAAAGTTCTGGAATGGTTCTTAGATAGAATGTATGGTTCTAAGAAAAACTTTCAGTCCTTGGTGCATTTGGTGTTACACATAAATTGTCATAAAAACATTTTAACACAAAAAGATTCACACACATAAAAAACATTTCCCCCATATTGTGAAAAAAAAGATCAGGATGGCATTTAATGCATTTTGAACCACTTCATATAGAATCTTCACATATGTGGAGGTTGAACTTTGAACTTTAAAAGGGCTCTTCACACTCTCAGATTTCATTTACAAAGTTTCCATTAAAAATGTTTGAAAGGTTCTTCTGCGGTGTCATTGCTCCAAAGAACCCTTCTTAGCACTTTTATTTTTATGAGTGTATATGGAGTATGAACTGGTTGTGTTGACCTCAACTTAAAAAACATTGCAAGCATTTTGACCACAGATCCATATGACCCTTCACCTACTTTCACCTTTTCACTCTACACCTACTTCTGGCCTGTATTCACTGGACCTGTGCTTTGTGCTAGCTGCTTCAATAGAACTCTCCTGACTTTGGGGGAGTGGGGTGGCGATGGAGGATGCAGGGCATTGAAGTAGACCAATAGACCTTTTCCACTGGAATGGAGAAGATGTCACGGCAGAAAGAGGCTCATATAAAGAGCAGCTTTATCTCAACTAAACACACAAGCTCTTAAAAAAACTGTCACAGAGGTGTCACAGAGAAGATTAGAAGAACCATATTTGGTTACTTAAGCCATGTTTGGAAAATGTTTGAGTGAAGATGGATAGAGAAGGTGACATAAATGTTCTATAAAGATTTAGGGGTTACCAGAACCTTTACATGATGTGGAGTGGAGGTTCTGTAAACTTTAAAAAGGTTCTTCATGCTCAGACATATCATTCGATGGTTCTCTAGAGAACCATCCTTTGAAAGGTCCTTTAGGGAACAGTTAAGTTCTTCTTTAGCATTCATCCAAAGAACCCTTGTTGGCATCTTTATTTTTAAGAGTGCCTTAGAGAAAACCTTTATTGTTCGAATTTTGCACTTCAGTCTTAAAACTTAGAAGAAGCATTAGAGACAAGAGATACGGGAGAAATAAAAGACGAGAGTTTAGTTGCTGAAGAAGATGAGTGTTAATAACTTGGCAAATCTGAGCACAATGTGTAACTTTGTTGAGATCACTAGTAACACAGGATGAAATGTGAGATCACTGGGCTCTTTTGCTCAGGATAAACATCTGAACAACAGTAGGAGACTTAAGCAAAAGTGTCCTTTGTCTTTACATCTGATCTCATTGGTCTCTCTGTGACCATCTCGCTTGTTCCATCTCTCAATAATTTTTTTATCTCTCTCTCTCACTGTCTCTCTAGGCAGAATGAGGTGCTGTGGAGGGAGGTGGTATCACTGAGGCAGAACCACACGCAGCAGCAGAAAGTGATGAACAAGGTAAGAACGTACAGCACGTAAGTTTTTTGTCATGAGAGGGCAGGGAAGAGGGCGTGTGTGTTTGATGCAGTTCAGTAATGCTGAATCACTCTCTGGCTCTCGGCTCTATTATTAGCTGATTCAGTTCCTGTTCAGCCAGATGCAGCCCAGCACCCCCAGCACTGTTGGAATGAAGAGAAAACTGTGAGTACACGTCCTCGCCTAAAACACACACACACACACACACACACACACACACACACACACACACACACACACACACATACAGCCAAAGATAAAGTATTTGTTTGGATTATCACACACAAACAAAAAAGTGGCAAACAGAAAACAGCAAATCAACATGGCGAGGGCCTAATAAACACTGCAGTGCGAACGGCCAACTCAGCTGGATGTGGTCAGCTGACACAATTCACTGGCCCAGCTGGCCTGAATGGAGCTGAATGCTGAATCAGACCTACTGAGCTCTGGCCCTCACACACGCACACACACCACCCCACTGAACCGCAGCGCATGACCCTCTACCCTCTATGAAGAAGTGCACTGTCAGCTAGTGTGACCCGTGAGAACAAATCGGGTGAGAGGGAGGACAAGGCCCAGTAACATACTGCACAATGCTGCAACTGTCATTCATCGCACCACTGTGAATTCTCAGGTGTTTACATGCTAAACAATGCCATATTTGCCTCGATTATACTTTAAGATGAAGAGCTTTAGGTTGTGTTAGCTTTGTCGCTAAACATATGAAACAGTAGCATCCTTCAGTTTCACAAGCATGCCACTAGGTGGTGATATAGGAGACATAGTAAAGAAATACTGTATTATGAACAGTCTGATATGAAAGATTTGAAAATCTTTAACCCACACTAACTCTGATCCAAATCACAAATTAAAGTGAGGTCCATAGGTCCAGTCTGTCATACATACTTATAAAGCCTAATTTTATGTCCAGCTTTACATAAATTGTATTAATTCTACTAACTCTACTCAGGCCCCTTATGTTGGATGATGGCTCCACCACTCCTCCTGCTTCCAAATTCAGTCACAGTCATTCCATGGAACCAATGCAGGAGCCCTTCTATATCCAGTCGGTAAGCTGGTAACATGCAATACAGAATATTTCAATGATTTGGTTCAGAATCATCATTTTAGAAATTATTATTTGAATGAAGTTGCAAGTTGTAAGTTAATATCAGTCAGCAAACTGCGGAGTTGGTCAGATTTCTTTGAAAAAATAGTGATGGCTGAATACTGAACACACTGTCCTCAATGTATTCAGTAATATATTTGATGAGAATATATAAAAAGGTAACATTCAGAATACATTTAGAATTTATATTAATGTGGTACATAGAAAAAACTATGCTCTTTTAGGTTGTTATTTAATTCACATTGTGCCTTGCTGTTACTAGAGGCTGTTTACTTCATGTAATTCTTCTGTTAATATTTTTAATCAAAATTTCACTTATTTAAATGAAGTTACAAAATGTATCAACATTATTAACATTATTTTTGCGCTTATCGTATGCTCCAGTTCACTGCTGCTTCCATAACCCCACTGATGAACTAAGCGAACAAGTTGCCATATACCAGTTACAAAATAAATAAAAAAATAAATAAATAAAAACATTTTATTATCAAGTGGGTATCTGTCATTTTCAGTTAATGACACATGCAAACTTATGCACGTGTCCAGTACAACTTCTGATGTCCACAACTGAGAAAACTGTTAAATTCCATTGTCCCTCAGGAGAGTTTAGTAATAATGAGATTAATAACTGGCTTATCATGTTGATCTATCAGTCTGCTCAGGCATTAGCAGGGACTTCAGTGATTGCCTTCATTTGACTTTCTTCCTAGTCCATTTTTATACACTATGTGTAGATATTAAAATAGTTCATTAACAAGCATTGATGGTGTGTTTTTAAAGATGGTATATTCTGAATACTGCCTTTACTAAATGTAACTTGAACTGAATACACATACTTAATTTCTGTATTCTGAATACATGTTCCCACTACTTGTATTTTGTTACATCCAAGCTCTGGCAACTGTGTGCTATTGATCTAGAAAAGCTGAAACTGACCATGTATTGTTCAAAAGACACTTACAGTACTCTTTGAATCTCTGTATCTTAATTGACAATCTCTTCAAATATCATTTCGCTGTAGTGCTAATACTAAAATTAAAAACAAAGCTGTCCAGGTATCTTTGCTAATAGAGGGAAAAAAGGGTTTTGTTTTGGAAAATTCAGCATGCACTGAAGATTTTTACTACAAGGCCCTGAAACTTTCTTTCTTTCTTTCTTTCTTTCTCTTTCACTTTCAGCCATCCACAGAGGCTGCCTCTTGTTCCACTAGCAGCACAATGACAGGAGGACCAATAATCTCAGATGTCACTGAGATGTCACAGCCCACTGCTTTGGCTATGCAAATGCAGGCAGATGAGTCGAGGTATATATATATTTATAGAGCATGTTTTATGAAAGCCATAAATTGGACTTCAAATGCCTTGTAATGTTTTTATGAATTTGCAATTGAGTCGTTTCATACTAACTCACATAATCCCTAGGTGGTCACTTCCTAGGTTTCCATGACAAATTCAAGTAAAATTCAACTTTCTGTTCAATTCAGACAACCAGTCAAAATGTCAAAACTGTGCTCCAAATAGTTTTAAGTTAACCCACAACAGGTTCATTTATTGAAGGGTGTATTTTTTTATGTCAGCGTATGAAATATGACCTCTTTGATGTTTCATGTTTCAGTCAGTTTTCCCAGTAGTATTGCAGCACATTTATCAAACCAATATTTGAAGCTCAAAAAGAGTTCAAAAAGACTTCAGAACAAAGAATCTATTTTTTTCCCATTTTGCATATGCAGGTCTGATGACATATACTATAAAATATACTATTAATGTTCTTATATTGTACTAAATGAACACTGAAGCTGATAAGTCTATGATGTTGTGATGTGTCAGGGAGAAGTGTCTGATGCTGATTAAGGAGGAGCCGGTGAGTCCAGGTGTGCGTGGGCGAGGTGAGGGCATGCCACTCGGCTCCTGTGAGGTGTGTGCTGAACCTCCCGTCCTCCCTGTTGCCATGGTACAGTCCGTCCTGGAGGGTCGAGGATCAGGCTCTGGCGAGAGAAGGGCCAAGAGGAGCATGATGGACAGGTCAGAGAGCTGTGGTCAAACTGCCTTCCAGTCCTTCCTGGAAGACCACGTGACTGCAGAGTGTAGTGAATAGACACATTTAGGGCTGTCCCGAATAACAATTTTGTGCTTTTTTGTGTGAGCTTTGACAGTAATTAGCAGCGAATATTCAAAGCTTTGCCCCATGTAGCGGGGGGAGCGGAATCCGTGTCCGATACCTTTGAAACATATCTGCGGCTTTGCTCCATCTACCAGGCCCGCCAGCCTCTCTTAGCGTGACATTGCTGTGACTGAGGGAATGTTACGTCCACATTACCAGGTTGAAGACTTTCATATATGGTCCTAGATCGGATACGTATCCGATTCGTGGCTATGTGACCATAATGTGAACGCTCAGATCGGAATTTATGTGCTTTTTTCCTCTGCACATGTTCTATCATTCAGCGTTACCATGGCAGCAGCGCTGAACAGAAGTTAAACTCTGTAAACGGTAGAAAAGCAACACGCCTGACCCGTTTCGACTTTGGCTCACTCTAATAATGCAGCTGAGAGCTGATCAGAGTTAATTATCTTCGTAGCAAAGGCTCTTTCTGCTCGTTAGTTTGTTTGCTGAAGATGCACGTGATGCACGCGATTCATTCGTGTGACCTTACTGAGAAGGATGTAGGCATGCGGGTCATTTCAGGACACCGGTTTGTTCACATTAATGACATATTTGAATCAGTTACCTAAAATCTAAGTGTGAACCATCGTGTCAGAGAGATCAGATTTGAGCAAAAAATCTGATTTGAGCAATGACGCCTGTAATGTGAACATAGCCTTAGGCACCCAAGCTAAGGTGGTATATATTTCCACATTTTAACAATGCAGTTAAAAAATATAAATAATGTACAAGAATGTGCTGACAACATGTATTGTGGCGTCCCTATGCAGCGTTGTAAGTAGTCAGGTTTTTTGAAGAGTAGAAATATCTATGTTGTTGAGCTGTTTTTGTAGAAGGACTTTACCTTACGTTGAAAAGCCTGAAGACAGGTGGAGTGGTGGGTTTTCTGGAGTAGAGCAGAGGGCTGTGTTTTTAGCTGTGAGCGCTGGAGAGGGTGTGTTTCTTCTCACCTTGTTGGGTGCTGTTCTCAACAAACTAAAAATAAAGCTGCATATGGGCCATAACCTCGAGTCCTCTAAATTTCTCCTAAGAGCCGTGAACGTTACAGCATTTTGCAGTTTGCCTTTATTGATAGCTTACATTTAGCAAAAAAAAAACAAAGAATGTCCGAATCCCAAAATTTAAAACCGAATATCTACCCAACGAATGAATATCTGAATGGTCGAAGATTCAGGTCCAGCCCTAGATGCATTTGATTAAAATAATTTTATGTCCTGTAAAACATAACCCCCTGAACCCATGACTTACTGTTAATTAATTTTGAGACATATTATTCAGTAACTTCTATTAATTATTCTGTAACTACTTTAAAACTATTCAGTAAGGTGTATAGTCATGATAGTAAAGTGAAACTTTAGTGTAGGGCCCTACACTAAGGGGTGTTTAAGGGGTTAATTGTGGTTTAATCCTGCCGGGATGTGTGTCTGCGTGTGTGCGTGTGTGTGTGTGTGTGTGTGTGTGTGTGTGTGTGTGTGTGTGGGTGGGTGTTAGACCAGAGATGTCTGATGCTGTGGAAAATGTGGACATGAGTCTGGAGGAACTACAGCTCCTTCTGAGGAGCCACCAGCAGGGTATGGAGCCCAGCACTGCTGCTATGGATGTAAGTATGGCACAAGAAAATTTTAGTTTATGTATAGATTATAATACATGTTCCCCGAATGCCTCAAGAATGAGTATAATTGGCCTTGCACTCTCTCTGGGTGGGTAAGATGGCCCTTCCTCTTCCCCATCTGTAGTGTTAGCAGCAATTCGAAAAGATGCAGTGGCTGACTTCATGAGTCCTGGGGGAAACTACTGCTAGACTTCACCCTCCCAGCTTGATATTATTGTTTAATAAATAAGGATTATAATATGGCATGTAAAAAACTTAGGGTCCGCCAGCAGACCCTGGCCATTTAAGGGGTTAAATAAGTGAACTGTATTAACAGGATAATGTTAAATGAATCACCTAATCATAAAACACTATTTGCTCTTTCATAGCCATTCACTTTTAGCTTGCCTGTGAACGAGTGGAACTTCACGGAGATGGATCCGAATCTCAAAACGGTGAGTGGCTCGCTCAGCTTAACATTATCTTACATGCATTGACCTTTACCTCTAAAGGAGTTCTTAATGCATCGTAAAGAAAAGAGCTTTTAGAAGGCAAACACACGTGTAAGTTAAACATCCAGACAATGTTACTCAGTGTAACACAACGTGTGCTACCCTGGGAGGCAGGAGAATCCTCTGCAGCAAGCATATTTTTGTCACTCACAGAACACAACATAAACAAAACTAAAACTGGCCACCTCATCCTGAAAAAAGGACTGAAAAGTGCTCTTCTCCAACTCACTGTGGCTTTTTCAAAAGACTGAAAAAGCCACGGTGAGTTGGAGAAAAGCACTTTTTTAGTCCTTTTCTCCAACTTGAGCATTCTAGCTTATCAGTCTGTCGCTCCTGCTGCTTGTCCCTCTCCTCTCTTTCTCTGTTCCCTATCTGCTCTTTTTTAAAGGAGCTCACACTGCCGATGCCAGATCACCATCAGCTGGCTTTCATAAAGGGCGGTGTGAGCACCTGGGCTGAGAGGGAAAAGGAGCTCACTGCCCCACCTCCCTGTCACTGCCCCTGCTCCATGGCTCGGCCACTGGGATTGAATGTGAGACATAGTAAAGTGGCTTGCCATGGGACTGGAGGGGGTGCCTAGGAGGCGGGGCTCGGAACGTGCCATCCACCACCCCTCATCCTCTACCACCTGTCCTCGTGGGGTTTTGTCTCCAACTTCCTGCTGGCTCTCACAGCTGGGGCCTGGGAGATGGGCGCATGGCACACTGATAGAAGCTTTTTCTTTAGTTTTTCTGTGTCCCACGTTTTAGAATAATAGTGAAGACACGATGAAATAACACAAGTGAAAACAGAAATGTTCTATCCCATAACACATTAATTTATTAGAGGGTCCACTTTTTATGTTGGGATTTTTCATCTTTCTAAATCTTTCAGTCAGTTTTCAAAATTCTTTCTTCAAATGTTTCCCACATAACTGTCAAATCTACAGATTATTTCTCTATGCAACATTTGAAGCTTCACCGTGAGTTGAAAATGGCTGCAAAAGTCAAAATTTTAGAGATCTTTTTTTATTCTGTACTTTCTCCAATGGACAATTACGTCTCCTGTAAAATTAAATACATTTTAAAGAACTGAAGGTTTAAACTTAACAATGACAGATTTCACTTTCTGACACAAGTATACTATTCAGTAAATTAAGATCTTTTGGGGAATTAGGGTTTAAGGGGTTAGTTGTGGTCTAATCCTGCTTGTACTGTACATCCAAGTAAGTAAAATGACTGATCAGGTGGAAATACCACTTTGTAGCACGCCTTGAAATTGATCCCAAAGTCCTGTTGAATCCAGCTAGTGAATTGTACTATGTTGTCTGTCTTTGTATTTGCAGGAGTTGGCTAACATCCTCATCCCTGCTGCTATGTCCCAGTACATGTTTCAAGGCCAGGAGGGAGAGGCCTACCCCACTGCTGGCTGTGAGGAACAGTGAGGGCCTGATACTGCAGCCGGCACAGGCTACTCCTCCTAGACCATCAGGTAACCATCCCTGCCATTGAATCCAAACTGTATTATATTCTAGGTAACCTTGATTTCTAGTTGACAGCACATGCTGGACATTTCTAAACTGGAATAAGCTGTCTGGTTGTGGGAGAAGAAATAGACCGTGTCAGATGCAAGTCAGTCATTTTCATCTAGTAAATAAAGTAGCCACAGAGACCTTGTGGGATGAGATCATATACTCACTTGGTACTGGGATCAATCAGGTATTTTTTTTCTTGAATCTTGCAGAATTCAGTATGCCTGGAATCTTGCTTAGACATTGTTTTAACTGAGCTTTGTATCTGCATCTTACCACAGCAAGTGAGAACCAATTAGAAATGCAAAGCAGTATGTCTTCATATTGAGGTGAATTGAAGCAAATTATTTTTGCTTACCCTAAATAGATTTTATCAGCCAAGACATTTGTTGTTTGCAGTTTGTGTCTTTAGTTTTGCACTGGGGGCTAATGTAGCTAACTAGCAAAGGAAGCTTATGCACAAATTAGCATTGTGCAGGCTGTGTGCCTCACAATGCAGAGACACAAGTACAGACAAAATGCAGGCTTCAAGATGGCTGCTACAACTGTTTTTAGCTATGAAAAAATAACGTCATAGCTCCAGTGTACAAGTAAAGAAGCAAACCTTGGGCACAAAAAATCTTGGCTGACTACATTCAGGGTAAGGGGAAAATGTGTAAATTAGATTTTTTTTGCCAGTGAAGAAGAATGTGTAAAACTGAAAAGGAAAAATAACATCTCCATTATTTAATTTTCATTCTGTTATTCTTATTTTGTTATTTTTTTTGTTTCTCATGGCAGACCTTGGTGAACGCATAGCCTATGGATGGCAGACTGTCCCCACATCCATTCAGAATACAAGGCCCAAAGCGATTTCAGGGTCGTGATTGTGAAAGCGAAAAGGTGTCGTGGCAATCAAGCGTTTACTGGCCAGAGTTTCACACGGAGATCCATAATCAGTTGTGGATTACAAAAGCACATCATGAAATTTTAAACTGATTAGTCTGCTCAATGGGATTCATGTGTTTGCAGTTGGAGACGTGCCATTAAAGCGAGCATCTGCTTGAAGATTAAAGCCACAGGTGGAGACAGCTTCCTGGATTTTAGATTGCATCGAAACCTTGTGAGAGATCAAAATCACACTTCCACTGAAAACTGCAACACTTACGTCAAATCTTTGCCTGTGTGGTCATGACCATTTCTCTGCTGAGGTAACCACATTTCTGCCATTATGAAGGGGGAGTATATGCGTTATTGCATAAAAACGTGGCCCAAGTTTGAATGCACTTTAGTCTGTGTGTTGGAGTTACTGCTTGTGGAGCTGGGATTTCATTTCTAATATTTGGTTGTAAATATAAATTTATATATACTTTCATTGATGGAGCACACACCATATTTGTATTCAAATATATATTTATAGCAATATAAAAATAGAATTAGTTTTACTACTATTATGTATGTATTAATGTGAATGGTCTAGGGAATTAAGCAGACCTCACGTTTGGAATAGAGAACTGAAACCATGCACTGCTTTTTTGCACAATTTTGTGTCTATTTACTCAATAGCAAACTCTATATCTGAAACAGATACTGAGTAATCCAGTATCTTTGTGCACTAAAGTAATTTTTAGTTGGAATTTCATTCTTACTGAATTTACATAATCGTCTTTGCTTCTATGCTATATTGATGAATTATACGATTGTCTATAATAAATTTGCGATCTATAATATATATCTTTCTATAATGCATTGTCTGTATTAGCCTTGGAAACGAATGATTGAAACAGCATACTCTAATGATTTTAGCCTGAGGCTAAACAGTCTTAATCTTTTATGTTACATATTATTTGCTGCTGAGTTTAGCAGATGAATTTGATGTATTTCAATTTTTATTTTTGTAACAACAGTTCAGAATCTTGGAGCTTCCCTTGACTCCAGAAAAGAAAGCCTTTTCTGCTTGTCCAAAATTCAGTTTATAACTTTGAACCATCTCAATCATATCCCAATCTTAAGCCATCTTGTTTTATTTTCCAGTTCAATATATATATATAAACCTAAACAAATTGTTTAAAAAGATTTATCTGGACAGTAAATATGCATTTTGCTTGTATAAACACCATATAACAGTAGAATAAATTCAAGCTTACATAATGCTGTAGAATTTCTTATTTTCAAAACAGTAGTTGAAATCTTCTGAGCTAGTTAGAAGAACACAAGTTTGGTTCCAGAAGTCTCCTCAATGCCCCCAGCACCCCCATCATCACACTGATGATGATAACAAATAATAATAATAATTGGAAATGCTTAAACGAAAGCATTGACATACATAAAATCACTGCGTATCGGGTTTATATTGTTTTTATTTGTTCTAATATTAGTGTTTTTTTGAGCATAAAACGCTTACTGCCCAGGTAAATCACTGTTTTGTATATAATTTGCACTGGCTAATAATTATACAGAAGTGAGATTCTGCATTTCATTAGAACACAAGTCATATACTTAGAATATTCGCCACAATATTATCGCTTTATCTTTTATGTGAAAGTGCGTTTGCTGTTTCAGCTGGCAGTGAAAACACCTCATACATGTAACTGCTTAAAATGGATGTATGAGATCCGCTAATGTCAGAAAGGGGAAAATAACTTTGTGTTGCAGCCATATTGTGCAGAAAACGCCCTAGATCTCTTACAGTGTTTTTCAGCTGAAAGTGCAATACTGTGGTACTGATTTGTAAGACTTCCCAAAGATGCAATACATGTGCCATTAGAATGTGTGGCCAGAAACACACTGTATTATAGTTCTACTGAATACGAGTGTGGGCGCTGATGATGAAAACAGTGATGGCATAAGAGTAATTGCACTAAGAGTGATAACTGTGTTAGAAATAGCAAGGTTTCTTTTTATGTTTATCTCAGTTCTCTCTATAAGACACAAAGTGTTTTATGGTTTGTTTTGAAGAGGGAACTTTTTTTCTGAAAGTCTGTTCACAAAGGCCTTGATTTTTAGCAGCTGTTAAAATGTTTTTTTTTTTTTTCACTTGATCATTTGCACTGTTAATAAACGAATGTAGCCTAATCCAGTTAAACATGGTCACACTTGTCAGGATTTGCTGACTTCATACATTTATTCTTTTCTCAGCTGAATCAAAGAAAGGGCTGTTAAAAAGATCAATGCTGCATTTTCACACTGGAGTTTTTCTGTCCATGACTGCCATTGTCGACAGTGCACTGTGTTTAAAAAGGAAAACCATGTACACATATGTGCACAGGAAAAAAGAAGAGGATATGTACATAATATGTATACAAAAGAAACAGAAAAAAATGTTTTGGGCTCCAGGTGTCATGTTAATTCTTGAAACAAATAAAAGAACATTTCCAACAGTATGTGTAATGGGTGGCTTATTTTAGCACTGTAGCTTACAAGAGTCAATATTTATGGTCTTGGACTAAGATATGAGATTTGGCATAGAATATGAGTTTTTCATTTATTTTATTTAATGTATTATTTGTAACCTGTCCGGGTTGCTTCCTGCCTTCCGCCCCGGTGGCCGCTGGGGTAGCCTCCGGCTCCCCCCGCGACCCTGAAAGATAAACCGGCTTGGAAAATGTGTGTGTGTGTGAGTGTATTATTTTTAAGATTAAGTTTATGTCTTTAGCTTAATGATGCCAAATATATTGGAATCAGAATGTTGGTGGCGCAGTGACCTGTGAAAATGAAGCCTACTTTAATTCAGACATTCTCTTCATAGTTCACGCAAAGGTTACATCTCTGGGCGGACAAATAATATATTACAAATGTACTACAGGCCATGGGAGCAGAGGATTATTAGACTGTGACATCTTTAGAGTTTGAAAGTGTTCTAATTTAATTTTTCCATGTTTTGGACATAATCAAGTAACATGCACAGTGGTTTGCACACCGTTCAAATGTCACTTTTTGAGCTCTTATTTTGTAAATTGTTTATTCACTTGCAGGCCACATGGGGCCACTAAAGGAGCTTTGCAGAGAAAAATTACAATCCATATAAAAGGTTTTCAGAAGTTGTAGCTCTTGGGCTCCTAACAAAGACACAAAGTGTCATTGATGTGAAGCACCAGCAGCATGAAATGACTCGCAAACGGAGCAAAACAGGTGTGTTTGGAAACCACACAGATGAACCCAAAGCTGACATTTTCAAAGTTTATTTGTAGCTTTGAGATGGGTAGCAAACACCGTCCTGACCTCTGTTAATGTATGGGGTGTATTTTAAAGTCACCCAGGCGCACCCGCAAGATTTCATCAGGCTCCCACAGAAAATCATTTGTCCGCAACTGAAACGATTTGTCCCGCGCCCGCCCACACAGTTCTGTCAAGACGAACTGACACCAAATAGCTGACATGGTATATTCCCAGATACATTATCCTCTGCTGAAATAACTCAGCAGTCATGGTCATCAGGCTCACTGTGAAGTAATTTCACCAAACGCTGTTTATTCCTAGTGAACACAAAGCAAGAATTAAACCACAGATCAGTTATTTTTGGTGTTTTGCTCGGCAGCTGTGGCCGTCGGACTGAATGCTCTGCCATGTCAGACCTGGTGAGGGGCTCTGCATGGCAAAGTAATCAGTAGCTGAGCTGAAGACAGGATTTTGGCTAAAAGCTCACTAAAATAAACATTAGACCTTATTCAACATCTATAATATACAGAGTGAAACAGTGTAAAACAGAGTGAATTAATCCACCTACAATATGGATTTGTGGAAAATTATGGTCTATAGCTGGGTATCTGTTTTTTTACTTGGTTGCTTTTTAACTCTAGCTAGCTAACTTTAGTTAACGTTGAGTTTAAGTGAGGTAAAGAAAAGAGGCTAGGCTAACACTAACATTAGCTAACTAGCTGACAAGACAACTAGTTTAACCCATAGAATCTGTGGTTTAACTCTCTTCATAGTGAGTGCAAGAGTGTGAACGAACAAGAGGGATA